CTAAGGGCATGTACCTTGGTTGCAGTTTGTCCCCGGCCCCGGTTGGGGTCATGTGGGTGGCAACCAGTTGATGTGTCTCTCTCACATTGATGTTTCTCTCTCTCTTTCTCCCTCCTGCTCTATCTGAAGATAAATGCAACAATGTCCTCGGGTGAGGATAAAAAAACAAAAACCCACAACAAAAAATGCAGACTCTGACTCAGGAGGCCCGGGCTGGGGCCTGGGATTCAGCAAGTCTCACAGGCCTGGTGGCATGCCAGGTGACCAGGCTGAGCCCGGAGGTCCTGGGAGTAATGCTACCCACCCTCCTTCTCCCACCTCACCCCGTCTGGCTGCTCCAGCCCACTAAGCATCCTCCTGCCTTGGTATTTCCTGCCCGCCATTGGGGCCCTTCACCCAGACTTCCTCAGGTCTCACTCCCCCTCCACCAGGTCTCTGCCCCAATGTTGCCCCAGAAAGGCCTTCCCTGGTCACCTGACATAAACAGCTGCCCACCCCACCCCCATCACTTTGTCCCCCCACATCCATCACTCTGGCTCCCCAGGGACCCCATCTCTTGCTTGTACACTTCCTGACACTCTGCACCTCCTGCCGACGTAGGATGCCAGCCCCGCGAGGGCAAGGATTTTGCTGTTCTTCCCACGGCCGTCCCTCCAACACCAGGACAGGCCTGGCTCCCAGCAACTGCTCGGTGACCGGGTAAAGGCTTGGTGAGTGAATGACTGAGTGGCTGGATGGACAGATGTCCGCATTTGAGAGATTTCACTCCCTTTGCCCTTTGCTCGCAAGGCTTTGTGTCCGTGGCCCCATTTCTCCACTGGGGGAACAACAGATCCCACTTCCTTATGAAACACAAGTTAAAGACAAAACGACCAATTGCAGAGCATTGACCCGGCCGCAGAGCCCTGGGGCTCTGAGCACGGGGCCCTGTGTCACTGCGGGGTCACATACCCACCAAGCCACCACCCCCTTCAGCCCCTCCCCTTGAGAAGTTCCCAGTGCACAGTGCAGCTTGATGTGCTGGGATAGAGGGGTACAGGGGCCGAGCGGAGGGAGCCCTAGGCCAGCCTGGGCTGGGGACAGGGACACTGGGCACTGAAGGGGAGCTGGGAAGAGCTTCCTGGAGAAAAATACCCCGTGAGCTCAAGGAAACCTAGCAAGATGAATAGGGGTTTACTTGGCCAAAGGGCAAAGGTCCTGGGGAAAGGGTGCTGGTGGGTGTGGGGTGGAAGGTAGCTGGCTGGGGGGCCCAGGGACACCCTAGATGTCAGCCCTGCATCTGTGGGAGGAGGCTGGCTCCTTAGCTCGATCGAAGGCCCTGGCCAGCAGGGACGGGCTAAGAGCTGCCATTGCCTGAGCTGGGGTAACCCCGTTGTCATGATCCCCCCTTTATAAGTCAGGGAGCTGGAAATAAGAGCCCAGAATGAGCTGGGGTTTGAACCACAGCTGCCTGGACCCAAAGGCAGAATCGCCTCATATCACTCCTCTCTGACCCACCTTGCCTCGTCCCTCCTGGCCGCCCAGCCCCTACAGGGGGCTTCCCAGGTAGAGGACCCCAGCATGGATAGTGTGGGTGAGTGAAGGCACCCCTGCTCTTCCAGCTTCCGTTTTCCCCCCTCAGTTATCTGTGGAGCTGCTGAGAGCCACCAACCCAGAACAGTCCCTGAGCGACAGCTCGGTGCCGGGACACATCCTCAGTGCAAAACAGAGAAGCGTGGGGCCGAAGTCTGTGTGCAGGGCTGGAAGTACGGAGGGGCCACGGAGGGGCAGCACTGGATGGGGGAGGCAGGGGAGGGCCCCATCCAGGGCCCACACGGTCCCCTCCGGTCACAGGGTGGCTCTCTTGGGGGCTCACCTGTGGCCCTGGGCTCCCGCCTGCCCTGCGGAGTCCTCACACCTCCGGTGCCCACCCTGGGCTGGGAGAGCTGAGTCATGGAAAACGTTCGCTCTGCCGGCTGAGCTCACCTCCCTCCTCCATGAAGCCCACAAAGGCTCCTTTCACGTTTGAGGGGAGGGTGGGGGACTGTGGGGCCCTCTCCTCGGGCTGGGATGTGAAATTTCAAACTTCGCCCTGGAGTTGAATTCCCCACCCCCTGCCCCAAAGGAAACTAAGGGAGGAGGGGGTACCAAGAGCAAAGGGCATGGGATGGCGGGGAGGGCACAGGGCAGGGGATCCGGTCCCTTGCAGTTCTCAGGGAGGCCAGGCCAGCCCACTGCCCCTGCCTCATCTTCCTTGAGAACTGTAGGGAGGGGGCTCAGCCGGAGGTGATGGTGGAAGAGGCCTGAGGCTCACCGGGACGCCAAGCCCACAGAACCCGCCTCCTGAAGGTCGAACAAGTAGTAAAAAAGGTGTCTGCTTCCCAGCCACCATCCCACCCCAACTTTTTTTAGGGTTGCCTGACATGTTCCTCTTTGCTCTGATCTCACCTCAAACCTGATGGTGGGGAGAAGGGGGGCACCCTGCATGGCCTTGCACGCGTTACTCGGATTTGCTGTGCCTGTTTCCTCCCGCTCCGTGGCACAGTGACACCCCCTCCCTGGGCCGCTAAGGAAACTACGTGTGAATCTGTGTAAAGGGCCTGACATGGTGAAGCCCAGTTTGGGTCCTCAACCTCCTTCTCACTCAAACACACCTTCAGGGAAAACGGAGGTGGGGCCTAGGGGTCCCCGGGTTGGTCAGGCACCTGAGCAGAGTTGGGGTAGCTGGTTGGAGATCAGGGGACTTAGGTGAACGGGCTGCTGTGTGTATGAGTTACTTAACATGTCTGTGCCTCGGTCTCCCCACAAAGCGGCCGGTGTGTGCGGAAACGGGCCCGCGGTCTTCAGGACCTTTCTAGGCCAGGAAGGAAGAGGATGGCTGGGGGGTGAGCTGAAGTAGGAGGTGGGGGCAGCTGGGAGGCACCGGGTCGCGGCGGCCACTAGGTGGCCTCGAGGATAACAAATGAGATCAGGCGGAGCGCAGCCCTTCCAGCTCCAGACTTGGAGTTGTCTTTGCAGGCCTGGCAGACACCAGGCACCACTGGGTGGGAAGGGCCGGTGTCTCCAGGGTCGGGATTTCTTTTCCATCTGCACAGCTCTCCAAGGTAGGAGGAGGCAGTCGCTGTAAGAGGTGCTGACTTTAGCCCTGGCCTGGGAGTCAGATGAAGGCAACGGCCTGCCTTTAGGTCCTACTTCCAGAGGGTTGGATGGAGGAGAAGGGAGTCTCATCCTGCATCTCCCTGCTCCCTCCCGCCTGAATGGGGTGGGTAGGAAGAGAAATCAGGTCTAGATTCGGGGATCCCTCCCTCCTGCACTGCCTGGCAGGGTAACCTGGCAAATGGAGATAATGATATCCCATTGCACGGTCAGCGGGAGATACAAAGTCAGCATATACACTTTTTATTTTATTTTTATTGTTGAGAGTATTCCAGATGTCTCCCACTTTCCCCCCTTTGCCCCTCTCCATGGGGCTCCACCCTACCCCAGGCCTTCGTGGGCTATATGTGTACACACATATAAGTTCTTTGGTTAATCTCTTCCTGCCCACCCCTCCCCTCGTCCCTCTGACACCTAGTGCTCCCTGCCCTGGACGGCTGCTCCAACCTTCTCGGGCAGGGCAGTTGATTTCCAAGAGGATCGAGCCCTGTTTATTTTGTTCATTGGATTCCAATGTAGGACCGACGGCCTCGCATCCAACCCCGCTCTTCCAAGCCCTTCTTGCTCTCCCAGCTGAGCTCCAAATAATTCATCCGGAAGGAAGACCCTCCCCTGCAGAACGTCTCCCCAGAACTAGAACTCTTTGCAGCAGAGGAGGAGGTAAACCCCAGCCACCTCTCTCCAAATCAGCATTTCTCAAAAGACTTTCTCAAAGGATCCTCAGCAGAGCTCCCCAGCAGGGCATCGGACAAGCTGCTTCCAGCACACCCAGAATGTGGGGAGCAGGGGGGTGGACAGTCTCCCTACAGACTGCAGGGCAGCTCGGGGCTCACCCTCTCTCCCCCTGGCCTGGGCCCATCAGGGGCAGCAGAAGCAAGTCCCATCAGCACTTTTAACTGGGGCTGCTTTTCAGTGAGTCACCTCCCAGACTTCCTGCAACAGACAGCTCTAAATAGCTGGGTCACACCCTCCAGCAGGGGAGCCGTTCTTCGTGGGGAAAGACAGGAGGTTACAAGGTGGGTGCCCAGCTCTGGCAGCCCAAGGAGACCCAAAGAGAGAAGTCGCTGCCAGCACAGCACAGGGGGCACTGGTTTAGGACGCTTGGTTTACAGGCTTTTGTTATTAAAGGAAATTGCTGTCAGTCAAGGTAATTCTAGCCCAGATGAGCAATAAATATGCTCCCACCTAATCTTATGGGGATTTTATTGGCACCTTGGGGGCAGGGGTTCCTTCACCTTGCCCACCCTTTCCCCTCAAAGCAAAACCCTGCTCCCCAGCTGTTCCCCCGTCCACGTGAGGAACTCGGGCAGCTTTGGAAAGTGCACTCTAAGTGAAGGCAGACCTCTGGGCACAGGTCGGGAGGGGCTTCCTGGTCCTACCTGCAAGCAGGGGATGACCAAATGACCTGAAATAAACCCTGGGCGACCCGGTTGGATCAAGGCCTGCGCGAGCTCCCCCGGGCCTGCCCCGAACCCAGGGGCAGTCCCGGGTCCCCAGACGCCCCAGCTCGGGGAGACCGCGTCCCGGACAAGGAGGGACGTCTCGAGGAGGGAGCCGGTTCGCAGGAGTCGGTTCCAGCGCGTTGGAGTCACAGCTGCGAGCCCTCAGAGGCACCGCCGGCAAGTCGCGGCTTGCAAAGAGGGGAGCCGGCCCCGGGAGAACTCGAGTCGGAGCGAACCCGTGTGCGCGCCCGCGCGCGCGCCCCGCGACAGCGCAGGGGGAGGGGAAGCTGCGGCAGCCAGTCAGAGGAACGGGAGTGAAGCCTCCGACCAACTTTAACTGTCAATCAGACTTAATAGGGTATTAAAAAAATGGGGGGAAAAAAGGCCGCCCTCTAGCTCCGCGCCGCTGCCGCCCCAGGAGCGAATGAATAAGGCGGCGCAGACCCGGGTGTCCGATCCACGCGCGCTCCGCACCCGGGCCCTCTCCAAGTTGGAAAGGACAAAAAGAAGGCAATAAACGCTAACGAGGGAGAGAGAGGGAGCCGGATCGAGCGGCAACTCCCAACCTCTGCTGGAAGAGAGAGGGAGGGAGCCGGAGACCGAGCGCGCGCGAGGGCGAGCCATGCACGTAAAGAAACTGACACCCGGACCCCCCACTTCTGCTGCACGTTGCTGGCAATCAGAGCGCGTTTAAGCAATTTCCTGAGCCCAAGAATAGCAATGAGTCGGAAGACTTTCGCAGGCTGAAATTGGGAGCTCCAAGCACTTTTTCCCCACTTTTTTTTTTTGCTGGAGAAGGAGGGGTGTGTGTAGTGGGGGGCGCTACAATTTGGAAACAGCTTTTTTTTTTTTTTTTTTTTTTTATCTTGCACTTTGAAACCGCGGGACTGGAGCAGGGTGCGCGCGTGTGGTTGGTGCCCTTTTTTTTTTTTTTTTTTTTCCCTTACCCTGCCTAAACTCCTCTGTCAGCCTGTAAACATTACCTGAGAATTCCCCAGCCGAAACGGCGGCCGGGGCAAGAAACTTCTTGTTAGAACTTCCCACCTCCGGCTTCCCCTCCACCCCTCTTACTGTCCCAACCTTCTAAGACGCTTTTTCTCCTCCCCAGGAGGATTTATCTCTCTTTTTTTTTTTCCCCCCTCACCCGGTGCTTTGCATTTGGGAAGAGGTGATTTCAAGAGTGGCCAGGTGGGACGCCTCTCTCCCCCCTCCTTCAGTTTATGTATTATTGTTTGGGGGTGTTTTTCGATTCCTGTTTTGCTCGGTCCGGAGAGTTTCGCCCCCCGCCCTGCCCGGCTCCGCGGCGCGGAGGATGGTGTGGAAGTGGCTGGGCGCGTTGGTGGTGTTCCCTCTACAGATGATCTATCTGGTGGCGAAAGCAGCCGTCGGACTGGTGTTGCCCGCCAAGCTGCGGGACCTGTCTCGGGAGAACGTCCTCATCACCGGCGGCGGCAGAGGCATCGGGCGCCAGCTCGCTCGCGAGTTCGCAGAACGCGGCGCCAGAAAGGTACGGGGGCAACGCGAGTCCAGCGGGTGGGGGCTGAAGGTGAGAGGGGCCACGCGAGCCGGGGTGCGCCCACCTGCTGCTGCTGCTGCTGCTGCTGCTGCTGCTGCGGGAACCCGCGCCCGGGGTCTGAGAGTCGCCGGCCGCTCGACTTCGCTGCGCCACCGGCGAATGCTGAGCTAGTCAGTTTCACCTTGTAAATTTCCCGGGCACTGGATTGTCTTTTTTGGCAGGTCCCGAGCTGATCCGCTCCTCTAGGATCGGTGGCTGGCTGGCTGTTCACCCCCACCCCGAAACTTAGGAGACCCACCCATTTCCCACATTCCTCCCTCCCGGAGGAAGGTGTTGCGTTCCCCCTCTACGCTTCCCCCCTTTGCCACCACCCTGGAGAGTGCAGGGTGTGTGCGCTCCTGGGTAGAGCTGGAGCCAGCGCCTGCTTGCTGGCGCCTCGTATTTTCCTTGGCAACCCGCTTCCCAGCACCAACCTGGGCGGCTGCAGTTCTGGAGGCTCGAAGAGAGAGGATACTTGGTTTGGGTTTGAAAAAGGGGAGGCAGTCTTTGATGGTCTAGTCTGGCCCACAGAGGCCCAGGTGTTTGGAAATCTGGAGCGAGGGGCACAGGGGAACCGGCAGCTGATAAAGAGCCCTTGTTCTTACCTTCAACCCTGCCTCCCCACCAATACAGCCCCAGAGGGGACCTTCCTACCAAGTGCTGCCTTTAGCTTTTTGGTAGTCCCAGCACCTCTTCCTGCAGCTTCCCCAGACCTGGTGCCCGAGAGTGGGGAGGGTGAGCCGGCTGTCACCCAACCCCGACCCAAGCCAGGCTGACTCACCCAGCCCTGTGAGGAGGAAGAGCAAAAACAGGGAATTCATTTGAATCTTAAACGGAGAGCCAGGGGGTGAAAGGGCCAGCAAAGCCAGCTGATCTGACGGGGGGCCACATACCTAGGAGATTAAGTAAATATGTACTGTAGAAAACCAAACCTGCACGTAATTCCAGGTTGCTTTTGTTTTGTTAAATACTGCCCTGAGATTTACAATTCCTCTGGGGTGACTGGGACTGGGACTGAACTTTGGAGCCTGAGCTATCAGCCAAAGCTGATGGCCATTTAACTCTTCCCTCGCCGGCTGGTGGGGGCCTGTCCTGGCCGAGCGAGCTGGGGTCTGTTGTCCCCGGCTCCTGCTTCTCCTTGGGTGGTTTGGACAGCTGCTTGACCTTGTAGTTGGAAGGGGAGTTCAGAAGTGCTTTTAACCCTTGGACACACAGAAAAAGGAGAAGTAAGACTTGTTCTGGGCAGTTTCATTTCCTTGAGGTGATGCCCCATTGAAAGGCTCCCAAAGCCCTTTGTGGAGGGGATCAGAAGGGTAGATGAGGGTGTCCTTGCAGGGAGATGTGGGGTTTGGGACAATTGCGTGTGATTGTCATTCCTTAGCTGTCTGCATCCCACAGAAACTTGCTTCTGACTCTTCCAGCTGGCCCAAGTCCTGGGTCTCTTTCACTGCTCTTGTAACTGGCTGCAGTAGGCATATGAAGAACTCTTTTAGTCAATCTGGAAAAACTTGACTGACTATAAACAAGCCTAAATTGAAAGAAGTATATGACATTGGGGGAGGAGGGCAGAAGGGTGCCGAGTGAGCCCTGCAGGTTCACGCAGGGAACCGCGCCCACCTCCCTGGGGATGGACCCTCTCTTCCAGGGAATAAACCCAGAGCAATTAGAAATGTCTTTCGTTGGCATCAGGTCTCCAGAAACAGGATCCATGGGACTATGAAACTCCTAGTGCCACTCACCCTCGTTTCAGTCATTAAACCAGGATGACCAGGAGCGCTCCCGATAACTCATAATTATCCGACCATTTACTGGAGCTACTTAAAAAATTTAAAAAAATATATATATTTTTGTGGTACATGCCCCTAGCGGGAACCGAACCCAGGACTCTCTGGTCCGCGGGCCAACGCTCAATCGCTGAGCCAAACTGGCCAGGGTTGGAGCTACTTTTTAATGACTGCTATTTTTTAAAGCAGTTGTCTTGCTGTCGCGGTGAGAAATTTGGAATCCAGGTTTCTTCCCTGAGTCCATCTGGGGCCAGTCAGAGGGCCTTAGGACGATCTCCAGACCTAGGGGTGTTTGGGGGCCCAGTGGACTTGGGGACTGAGGGGCAAGTGTTGTGGAGTGGGGGATTTCCGCGAGACTGCTGAATGGGTTGTGTGAACGGTGTGGGTTTAGGGTAGTCCTGGAGCCGCTGGGGAGAGGCGGGAGGGCAGCGCCCCCTGCAGCCTGCAGTGATGTTAGACAGGTGGTAGTGTCAAACCACGGATGACTGTCCTTTGGTGGAAGGAAAGGCTGCATCTGAGAGCCCTTCCAGCTTGATTTTGGGTGGGATTGGACTCGAGGGGAAAGGCCCACAGAGAGGAAGAAAGGAGGAGAGCAGAGTCTCAAACAGCCGGCAGGTCCAGGAGAGGTCTGTTTACTTTGGGGGGACAGTGACAATCCAGTTTTACATAATGGCCTTGAGTCAAACAGGATTTGGCAATATTTGTGGGCAGTAGTGTGCCTTGGGCTGTAAAGGTGACCCACATAAGGGTTTTTCTTAAAGGAACACAAAGGCTCCAGGAATTAGAAAGTGCCCCACAGGTACCATGGTTACCAAGGCAGGGCCAGTCAAGTAGGGTCTCGAAGGGGAAGGCCCTTTTTTTTTCTTTTCCCTGTCTTCCTGGGATTCCTCCCACGAAAGCATTTATGGAGCTTCCCCCAAGGCTCCTGGCTAGCTTGTCACTGGCCCAGCCTCCAATGTCTTTGACCTTGACATGATTTGAGCAGGAAGAGGGGGAGGAGAAGCGGACTGTTTGTTTGGAGGTATTTGCAGTGGCTGTTCCAGCCTGTGGCCCACGACAAGGAGGCTGGCCTAGAGGCCTGGGCCGCGCTGCAAGCCTGTGGAGGAGGGGTAGAGCCAGGACCCAGTCCCCCTTTCGGGGAGGTGGTGTGAGAACCGGCTGGCAGTTGCGTGTGCCTTGCTGTTACTGAATTTACAGCACACAGGTCTCCAGCCTGTTTCTGCAGCAGCTGGCCAGGAACTAGCCTGTTACATAGATTTGTGAATCCTATTCTCCATCACATCCATTCAGCAAATCCCATAGTCCTCCCGTTCCTGACACCGGGGCAGGCCCAGGCCCAAGGGCCCCACGATGGCAGGCTCTGTGAGACCTCAGCAAGCCTGCTGAGTGTGTCAGGTGTTGGTGCAGCTCTGGGTCCAGGTCAGGGGTGGGTACAACAAAGCTGAATAAAGGGCCCGGCCAGTGTGGCTCAGTGGACTGAGTGTCGTCCCATAGACCGAGAGGTCCTGGTTCGAGTCCCAGTCAGGGCACATGCCCGGGTTGTGGGCTCGATCTCCGGTGGAGGGCGTGCAGGAGGCAGCCGATTGATGTTTCTATCTCTCTCTCCCTTCCTCTTTCTCTAAAAAAAACCAATAAAAACATTAAAAAAAGAAAAGAATAATAAAGGACACAGAGATGTGGCCAGGGGCTTACAGTCAAGGCACAAATTATAGTGTGTATTCGTTTTCTGTGGCTGCCATAACAAGTCGTCACAAACTTGGTGGTTTCCAGTGTTCAAAACGTGTTCGCTCCTCGTACTGGAGGCCAGAAATTGGATGTCAGCGTGTTGGTGGCGCCCCATTCCCTCCAGAGCCTCTAGGGGACAGTCCTTCCTTGCCTCTTCCAGTTCCTGGTGACTCCTCGTGGCTCCTGGGTGGTGTCCTTGGCTTTGAGCAGCATCACTCCAGTCTCTGCCTCTGTCTTCACGTGGCCTTTTCTCTCTCTCTGCGTGTCTCTGTGCCCTCTCTTCTCCGTATAAGGACACACTCACTGGATTTAGGGCACATACTAATTCAGTATGACCTTGTCTTGAGATCCTTAACCAGTTACATCTCCAAAGACCCTTGTGGACGAAAAAGGGGCCACCTACTAACCCTGACCAACTCAGGGAAGGCCTGCATGGCAGCCTCACAAAGTCGGACAGAAAGTAACCATGTAGGGTGGTCTGAACATAAAAATTCCTACCTAAGAGCAAGTCACGGGGCGGTAGTCACATCCTGGGCCTGTAGCTTCCTTGACAAAGGTCAGTCTTTAAGGGAGCCTGTCTCTTGTCTTTTTTGCATCTAAGATAACATACCTTTGAACTGTCCCGGAGTAATCTCCTTTTCCAGACCCCTCAGGGAGCACCCATTGCACCAGAGCAGAGACTACAGACCCTCATTGTTGTGTTCCTGGAAAACCATCTCTGTGTGCTGTAAATGTTCGCTATCAACTACCCTGTACCCAGACGTAAAAAAAGTGTACGTCTCTCCGCTTCACTTCTTATCCAACCCCAGGGTTTCCCCCTCCCCTTTGCTTTCTCCCACGCCCTTCATCTACCACTAGTGGATTTCATGGAACCCTCCTTATGTCTCCTTAATCTAATGTCAAATAAGCTGCAAAACTGCCATTCTTTGGAGCATTTTCTCAATCCAGTGAGATTTTCCTCTCTGGAGATCGACGTCAGTTTGGCTCAAATAAACTCATAAACAATTCTCTCCAGGTTTGGACATTTCTTACGTCAACACCCTATTTGCAAATAAGGTCCCATTCAGAGGTTCCAGGTAGACGTGGATTTGGGGGGGACATGAACAGGGGAGGCCCGTGGCACTCTGAACCTGGCTCAGGGGAGGCTTCACGAGGAGGTGGCATTTGAGTGAGCCTTGAAGAAGGTCAAGCGTTTCAACCAGAAGGGACGGGAGGAGGGCAGTCCGGGTGCCAGCAGGCACCCGCTCAAAGGCTGTGGACCTGGCTGAAACGGGGAGGAAGCTGTGTGGCAACGAAGGAGAATCTTGCAGAGCCTGGGAGGTAAGCAGGGAGTATCAGCCTCGGAGTTAGGCCAGTACTGATGAGAACAGGAAAAAGAAGAAAGAGAGGAGGGAGGTTCGGACAGGTCATCTTGGGGGACAACGCAGAGTCATCAACACAAAA